GAGAACTAAGGATTCACAGAATACCTAAAAATAGACTGAGAGCTGTACAAATGAACTTTCCAACTATAGAGCTGAAAAGGGTATTCATTCAATATATAAGTAGACAAAAAAAATGTGACAAAGGCATCTACATCACAGACTGTTGACAAATCTGAAGTATAAACGTATCTAACCTTATTCACATCTAAGAGTAAAGGGAAGCAGGAAAAACAACCATGAGCCATTGAGGGGAATATATTACAAGGGAAAGTCTAGCAGACGTAGAAGACAAAATGAGGTAACCTCCCCAAAACAGGAGCAGAAAGCACTAAGTAAAGAACAGGATAGGGAAAAAAAGGACTGGAAGATGGATGAGATGAGGAAAAATAGTAAGAAAATTAAAATTACAATAATGAGATTTTAATACTCTGCTTTTGCAATAAAAATCAAAATGAATCAAGCAAAACATACTGATCATGACATGAACTACTTGAGAAACTCTCACTGAAGCACACTGCCATCTGGACTAGCCACATTTCAATTCAATAGCCACATATCATTAATGACTACCATATTGGCCAGCACAGGTTTAGAATGTAATATCTAGTACAATGTCACATATCTAGTTAGTAGAACCAAGACACTACTTTAGGTTCTTCTAAGTCCTAAGTCTATGTTCTTTCTGTTTGAGGAAACCAGCAGGAGTTAACATGCACCAGACCCTCAAGTAATTCAGACTAACAAAATCCTGTCTGAAGGACGAAACTTACTGGCAGTTCACAACTGTATTTAAAAAATAAAACTTCGGCTGGCCGAGTGGATTATTGGTTAAGAGTTGGCTTGGCAATGCGAGCACTGAGCAGCAGGGCCACCGGTTCAGATCCCACATATGAGGGCCAGTGACGTTACGCCCTCTACAGCTTAGATGGTGAACAACAGCTCGACCTGGAGCTGGGCTGCTCTGAGTCGCCAGCGACAGTGTAGGCTGCATGGGCTGCAGTGGGCTGCCGTAAGCTACCATGAGTGGCCAGCAGCAGGCGTGAGCTGCTGTGAGCCGCCGTGAGCGGCCATCCAATGGCCCGCAAACAACTGCCTCACCCAGGAAGAGCACAATGATCATACCAACATGGGCCAGTGAAGCGACATCCTCCACAACTAAACTGAAAAACAAAAGGACAACAATTTGTTTCCTTTCCCAATTCCCCAACGCTGTTCCCTTCCCCCAATTCCCAATTTAAAAAAATCTAAAAAAAATAAATAAATGGAACTACAAAGCCCATTTATATAATGCTATTATATAAAACAAATGTCAGTTTCAAAAAAAAATGAAAGAAATTAATAAGTAAAATTTTAATTAGGTCTATTATATAAACAAATTATTATACTTCATGTATATTAGTCTATATTTACAACAACATTTATGCTTATTATAACCAATACCTGTTTTGGTTACTTTAAAATCACAGATGCTAAAAATGACCATCATCAACATCAAACTACACACTCTACATTGTTATTGTCTTGTATATTGTTTGAAAACTCTGAATTATCTATGAACCAGTTAATAGAAGGGAACATATAGGTTTTCTCATGAAAATACTTTATCTTAAATTCATGTAATATCAATCACATAAATTTAAATATTAATTAATCATAGTGTATATTTCTCCAGAATCCACAGAAACTGGGAGGTACCCTGGACTCCCTCCTCCTCCTACCTTAACCCCCATATTCAATCACTCACCAATTGCTGGCAACTAATTCAAAACTTTTTGAACACCAATAAGGAGGTGAACCTGGCCTGCCATCTAGTCTCTTCATCTAGGCCCACACCACAATCTCAGCTCCAGCCATACTGAACATTTCTCAGATCCTCCATGATACTAAGCTTTGTTTACCTTAGGGCTCACACAAGTTATATCCTCTGCTTTGGCCACGTTTTCCTCCACATCTCTACTTCACTCAGCGATCTCCTACTTGTTCTAAGTTTCAGAGCCACTGCTTTCTCAAGGAAGCCTTCCCTATTCCACTGCCACCCCCCACCCCCACCCTGTTGCCTCCACAGGCTACGTGCTGTGATAGCGCTGAGAACAACTTCATAACACTCATCACACCTCAAAAATAAATCTATTTATTTAATGCCCATCAACGCCCTAAATGGGAAGCTTCATACAAACAGGGCCTGACACACAGTGGACATGCAATACACATTTGCTGCTAGCTAGTTTGGTTATAAAATGTTCCTTTAAATACGATTCTTATGTACTTTTGAAATATTAATCTGTGCCCAAATTTTCAGAAACATGTACAGTATTTAAAGGTAAGAAGACTCAGAATTAAAAGATTCAATTGAAACCATAATTATTGATAATACTAATAGCTACTATTTATTGAGCATTTACTAAATGCTAGGAACTGTGTTGAGCACTTTGCATGTACTACCTCATTCAATTTACCAATCTGTAAAGTAGATGCCACTGTCATCCAAAGGAAACAACTTAGGTATAAAGTTTAAAAATTTGCTCAAGATCACACATCTAATCAGTGACAAACTAGGGTATAAATCCATGTAGTCTAACTCCAGAGCTTAAGTACCTAACTACTATAATAAGCTAATTCATTAATAAAGAAAAGCCAATTCAACAACTATCTGTTAAATACTGTGAATAAAAAATAATGGCCATAATTTCTTTTCCATTAGTAGTTATCCATTAAAGTAAGATTCCTCTATCCTGCACCCTTCTACACACACACACAAAATTAAGATAAATTATCAATTTGCATTTTCCAAATTAAGAAATGTTTTTCTGACCCACACCCAAAGTATGATCTTAGTACCAACTAATTCTATTAAAATGCTACATTGCTGAATCACTTATAAATAAGTTAATGTTTACACATTAGTTTGATGTTTGCTATTTCATATTTTAAATGTACTATTTGAATGATCTCTAATTTAAAATGTACTTCATTGCTCCAATTAGAAGACTACTTAGCACTACAGACTGTGTTTTCAGATAAGGTAAGTAACAACTGACAAACTACTAAGCAAATACAAAAATAAACTGATAAAACCCAGAAAAATTTATAGAGATAATACAGGGATCCCCTGCTACCTGAACTCCCATTACTTGAATTCTTGTTTTTCCAAACTCAGGAACCAAATAGATTATAATACATTTCCACATATATCACTTGCTACACAGATTCTCACTATCCAAACTCAGAATTTAGGTCACTCCCCATCCCTTGCTATCAGAACTCAATAACCAATATCTCACTCCGAACTCTGGAACCTAATAGCTCTGGATAGCAATACACAAGCATCTGTATTCACAGGCCGTAGAAATTTAAGAATTCCTGTTTAAGAGATTTCAGTAGACTTTTAAAATATGAATAAAATGTACATATCTGTATTTTCATTCGAATTTTAAATTTTAATTCCACTTAACAGAATTTTTCTATGTGAATGTTTTTAAACTGCAATGTTGTCACATATATTTTTTAACCTTTAAACCACACTTAAAACATAAGGGAAGCTTTAATACATATATGACAGATAGAGTTAAATAACGTTAATGAGTGACTGTCAAAGCGGTCTGAAGCCACTCTTAACATTGATTTTTTTTCAAATATTTATCATAGTTTATATAAATACCACAGGAAATGGGTTTTTAAGGAAAACAATACTTTTGGCGTTAATTTTTCAGCAGCTTATTTCGCAGATCACATCATTTTTCTTCAAGTCACAAAGAGTGAAAGGCAAAATAAAAGAAACACATACAGAAGAGTACAGAAGTTGAAAATGAAGGCAAAAATCCAAATTAATATAGTTACAGAATAATGGCATGAAACAATTTTAGAAGTAACTACTCCATACGGTTGAGCCAAAAGTCAAAGACCCAGCAAGCAAATAATAAATTAACTAGATTGAGAAAAAGAAAAACCAGCTCTCATGAAAACAGTGCATTTTCCCAAGTATTTAACTTAGGCTCACATTTGAACCTAAGCTTTTCCAAAAACCTTGTACTTGATGAAAAGTTAAAAACCAATGCCAGTTGAAAATGGCATTCATGCATATGATTTTTATCACATACTCAAAAATTATTCTAAGAAATAGAGAAAAGAGGGAAATGATTTAGCAGGTAAAAAAAAACAAAAACAAAAAACTGTAGGTTTGAGAAAAGCAAACTACTTTCCCAAACTCTTCTTTTGATACAAATTACATAAATGATTTAAAGGGGTTGTAACTAGAGCTCCCATTTTATCCTAATTCGACCAAACTCTACGAAGAGCTCACTTCTGATCTCGTAATTGTAATTTGAAAGAGAGTGAACCCTTTAATCGACCATATTCTAATAGTTACTTGACACACTCCATCCTTCACATAAAAAAAAAAAAATCGGGGCAAAATTAAATTTAAAAACACAGCCAAAATTTGTCTATGAGGCTCACAAAGTGAAATACCTGAAGAGTCAATGACATCTTTAACTGACTGCATATATAGAGCACCAAAACACGTCCTCTGAAAATAAGAACAATGGGAATATTTTTGCATGTTAAGAAATGACAGGTATATTCTGCCCATGTTTGTCTTCCTAAAAAGCTAAGATTCACTACTAAGCTTTAACCACAAGCCAGAGAATGAAAGCCCTTTGGAAGGAAACAAACCCATAGGAGCTGTCAGGATTCAATATATCTATTTCACTGGGTGGCACCAAGAATGCCAACACACTCTTAATAAATGAAGGTGCAGCATATGTCATTATTGCTTTAGGTTATCTCTCTGGGCACAAAGGTTTCTCCTATATAAAACGAAGGAGCTGGACTTTGGATGGGGCTCTGGAAACCCTGTCTATGGTTCTATTCAAACAGTTCTGAAATAACAATACAACTCTTGGAAAATTACATTTCACTGCAAAAAAAAACCAAAAAAAACCAAAAACCAAAAAAAATCTGCTGCAATAAACCATACCTTGCTCTGCCAAGTGTTAATACCAGAACTTCTGAAATAAACAAACCTGTGTCTATGTTCATCCGGTCCATGAATCAGGAAGACTCCGGGATTTTTAGCCCCTTTGCTGGCATCTACATGAGGAATTAACACATCTTCCAAACCCAGATCAAAGCGTTTGTGTTTTGAAGAGTCTGGAAGGAAGAAGAATGCCCCAAAACACAGGGTGATGAAGGCACTTAGAATGAGGAGGAGGATAAACTTCTCGGAAAGTCTCAAGGTTGCCCTGTGGTGTGGGAAAGAAGGTGGCCCCAAGTTCAGAGGTGGTATCCTTCGTCCAGACAGCGGCAGCAGGGCTGGGGTAGTCATTGTTTACGCTCTTGGACACAATATTTTATAAAGTTCTCATCTTATATCAAACGTACAATACATTGAACAGTCTTCAAAATCTTGGCCAACATGGGGAAATGCAATTTTTCTCCTCGTAAAGGCTTGTGCTTTTTTAATAGGGCACCTCTTTCACGCTCGTTCAATTACATTCAGAAACGTGTGCCCCCCTCCCCCCCCCAAAACGATCACTAGTTTCTGTCCGGTGCTGTCTTCTTTGCCATTTGGCTTTCAGGACCTCATCGGGTTATTACCACCAGGCTACTCTTCATGCCTAAGGGTGGGTCAGGCAGGCAGCACTGCAGAAAGGATGCAAGGTGGGTGCTTCCATTGCCTGCACCTCAGTGAGATGCTCCGATGTGGTCTCCCGCCCCCACGGGGAACCTGGCCAGATCCGAGGCGTTGTGGAAGGTTCCCTTCACCTCCTCCGATTCCAGAATCTCTCGACCTCGGTGGTGGAAAAATAGGGGTCTCTTCGGAAGTCTGCCAACAGGGAGGAAGGTCTCCCGCCTCGCCGGGAAGCCGAAGCAGCGGCGCTGGGCGAAGCGGCAGAAGGTGTCGGACGCCGCGCCTCGCGACGCGGCCCCCTGGCCCCGGGCGCCCGGGAGAGCTCCCACGCTGCCCACTCGACAGCCGGCGCGAAGGGCATCCGCGTCCCAAATACCTGCGCCCTCCCGGCCGCCGCCGCCGCCGCCGCCGTTGCTACCCGCACGGCTCCGTCAGGGAGCGGAACTTCCTCCTC